TTATACATTATTTATAATATTTTGGTTCGATAGTATAGTCGGCCCCCGATATACGCGGGAGATAGGTTCCTGAAGGGTACCGCGTATACCGAAACCGCGTATACGGGGACCCATGGCTTATGGAAAATGGGGGGATACGTTCCAATGAAAAAAAAATTAACCATTTTTTATGAAAATTTTTTTCCATTTCTTGAAAAATTGAGTGATTTCGGGTTGTTTCATTTGCCGTAAGTAGTTTTTGTGCAAATCTTCATATACTTGTAAAGCTAATTCACAATTATATTTGAAACGTAACGATCTAATCATGATCGGATCGTATGCCATGGCTTCGTCGATTGCACTCTGTATGGAATTTATGATTATCTTCAATTTACTGAAGTGAAACTGCTGTTCTGAATCGTCTTGTTTTTCTTCGTCTTCTTTTACTGTTTCGTCAGCTTGGTTGATAATTTCTTCAATATCTGTAACAGTTAAAATCCCGGTAAGACCAAATCTAAAATTTCAGAGGCCTGGATATCTTGGAATCCTTCTCCACCAACTGATCTCGCCAACTGAACAACACTTGGAATTGTTTGTTCGTAAGATGGAGCAGGTCTTCGTGGGTCAGTTACAAATTCTGGAACAATTTTGACCAACTTCTGTTGAGAGTTGCTTCTGCACACTCTTGCCACGCTTCCTGTATGAATTTTATGCAATCAAGAATGGAAAAATCTTTCCAAAATTTTCGCACGACATTTTCGGAATGAAAATTGTCAGAGTCTCTGTGTCTATTTACAGTGCGCAACATATCTTTGATGACTCGTTTCAAATAGTATGACTTGAACGTAGCGATCACTGTTTGATCCATTGGCTGCAGTAACGAGGTGGTGTTTGGTGGCAAAAATTCAACATCCACTTCTGGGTGTTGCAAAAATACTGCATCTCCATGACTTTTACAGTTGTCGAGTAAAAGCAGCACTTTGAAAGGAATATCATTTTTGGCAAGATATTCTTTGACTTCAGCGATGAAACTTTGAAAGAACCACTCTTTGAAGTTCGTTTTAGTGACCTATGCTGTTTTTTTAGATCGTTAAAAAACCGGCAAGTGTTCCTTTTTTTCCCTTCAGAGCTCGTGGATTTTCACTTCTATACATCAACATCGGTTTACATTTAAAGCTTCCAGAAGCATTCGCACACAACAGGACCGTGAGTCTGTCTTTTGCCACTTTAAATCCAGAAGCTCGCATCTCCTCTTGAGTGATGTACGTGCGAGAAGGCATTTTCTCCCAATAGAGCCCAGTTTCATCACAATTAAAAATTTGTTCCGGTCGATAGCCTTTCTCTTGAATTAATGTACGAAGCTTGGGAGGATAAATTGCTGCAGCATCGTGGTCAGCAGAAGCACTCTCACCTTGAGAATGAAAATGTTTTCAAAACCCCATCATATTGCAGAAAAAAATAAAACCATTCAATCAAATTTACCTGTGAATTTGACATTGCGTAGCGAAAATCGTTCTTTGAATCGTTCGAACCATCTCTTACTGCCGGAAAATGTTTCGCCAGTGTGATTTTTTAGTTCCAAATGATTGTAGAAGTCCAATGCCTGTTGTCGAATGGCAGAGCCATCAAGCGGAATTTTTTTATGTACAAGATCTTGAATCCACACGTCTCTCCATTTTGAAGAAGCTCAATCACTTTTAATTTTTGAGCAATGTTCATAACTTTCCGATTTTTCGATTTTTTCGAGCTCTTGTAATTTTAGGCGCCATTCTAAGAAAATTGTCGATTTAATGTACCCCGAGGTTACGTTAATAATAATACAATGAAAACATATAGCATCTTGAACATTGCCTCAGTTCAAAACATCCGCGTATACCGAAGCCAAAATCCGCGTACAGCGGGGGAATTCGCAATTGGCCATCCGCGTATAAGCGAAATCCGCGTATACCGAAACCGCTTATACCGGGGGTCGACTGTATAACTAAGTTGTAACTTATTTCATGTGGAATCTGCGTGGATCATTTTTGTAAAAATCTGCCAAGAGTTAAGTTTTCAAGAGATAACCGAAAAATCTTGGCAGATTTTTACAAAAATGATCCACGCAGATTCCACATGGAATCAATGCACTTTCCTTGTAGAATCCACGTATTTCCCACGCGGAATCTGCGTGGATAATCCACGTAGAAATTCACATGATTTTTCAACCGGGATAACATTCAAGTTCAAGTTACTAGAACGTATGTGTTATGTAAATACTAGAGTATGTAGAGTAGGGTGGAGCGAAGTAGGCGAAAAATTTTAAATCACTTTGGAATAGTGTTCAAAGTTCATCTTTTACACAAACAAAACAACAGCCGTTCGCTAGACGTTGGCAAATGATATTTTCTACTGCAACCAAAACGTCAAACTCCGTTTTTTCGTATTTTTTCGTTTTTCTCGAATAAAAATTGAACTTTAAGCCAAATAAACGAAATAAAACGTACCGGACCCTTATAAATTGATCCAACCTTTTTTAAAATACAATAACAATCAGTTTTGATTGTTATAGTTACTCCTAAAAACTCTTGTGTTACTGGTATAGCCCCAATAACGACGATTTTTCGACTTTTTTTGCGATTTTTTGTGCATTTTCGATATCGTCCCGAATGCGTAATCTGTAATAAAAAACAAGTCTGAGACCGGTAATCGCTTTGTCAAGAAGTACACTTTGAAGGTACAAACGCTCATTTTGATCGAGCTATAAGGAAAAAAACGTACCGAGCTAAAACATCAGCCATTTTTTACACTCCTTATACTATTTTTCCATGCTATCGAAAATTGGCACGATCGATTCGTTTAAAAATTTTGAAAAAAAAACTTCTTATATACGTTAGATACAATGTATAGTACTTTTTGTCTCTGAAAATATGTATTTTTTAGGTTGGCAACATGCCAAGCCTATATCGTTTATTCAAACTAATGATGAAAATGTTGTTCAAAAATTTAAAAAAACCATTTAACGATCGCCTTCTGAACGCTTCCTCACATTAGTGTATATCGGGACACTAATGTAAAAAATCGAAAAGTGCTTGCGTTTGTAAGTTCAAGGTACCTTTCCCCCCTTAAGTGCACTCTGCCAATCACTATGTGAGCGCGTCTCGCTACCAAGTTAAAACGTGAATTTGTTATCTAGTTGAAAGTTTTTTTATTATTTTGTAATTACGCCGATTTCAGTGTAGTCTCCGAGTAGTATTCAGTATAATGTGTGTGAGTAGTATACCGAGAGCAAAGACAGTCAGTGTGTTTGTGTGTATGTGGATATTCTTTACGTATATTCAGCCAGTGACGACTACTTGCAACTTGTATCAGCTATCTTCATGACAACGCGAGTATTTTTTGGTAAAAATAAGATTTAAATTAAAATCGTATCATCTTTGTTTGACCCATATGTACTTTTAATTCTTACCCTTCCTTAGTAGTATTTGCAGTAAAGTTTTTAGGTTAAATAAAATTAACAAATATCTATGAAGCGTTCGTGCGCTTAGTATCAGGATTCGTCACACTACCATATGATGCACGCAAAGTCGAGGATGTGCCAATGTAGACGTGAACTGTGGATCACTCCGCTTTTCAGCCGCGACCCCCAACCTCGCCGCCACTACCGGCGTCGCGCGCCGACGCCACCAGACTATATAACCAGACGTACCGGCTCGCTGCGGGCATTCGCTCGTGAGCTCTTGAACTGAGCATATCTCCCGAATCTCCGGAGCAGTACGTCACTCTCGGTTTACCATAGTCACCAAGACTGCTTGGTGCCTACTTGTGCTTCTCTCAGATTACTGGAGGACACACACACACGCATATCTCTCGGACTTCCAGAGATTTTACAACTCCTCGAGTTGTTCAAGGTTGTTGACTTGGATAGGTACAGTTCATTTTAATTAAAGTAAACTTTTTTTTCTCCAACGAAACAATCTTTTTTTCACTTCACCCTTCTCGCCTTCCCCATTTCCTGCTTCGGTCGCTAGGTCGCACTCAGCAAGCGACGTGTCCCTGCCAGAGCATAAGCGGTAGGCTCGTTTGACGACAAAGTCACTCGCTCTTGCTCACGAGAAACTTACCAGCCCAGCTCGGATTTCCAGCTTGCACGGAACATTTTCTTTCGAGTCTCGCAGTTGCGATACCGCTTCAATGTAGGAAAGCTGGACCCTAGCTAGGAGAAACCTGAATCTGGAGTCAGAGAGAGGAGTGATGCATCACTTAAACTCGGTTAGAGTTGTCCCGAGTGGCAACACTTTGAGAAGGCTGGTCATCCTAATACTGCATTGGTCAATTCGATCAGTCGTGTTGAGCGACAGTCCGCCGGTACAGTGCGCGGAAAAGCTTTCTTTTAAGTCAGCTCTCGCGACAACTATGGAAGAAACACCGTGTGTCCGCCAGCCGATGCGTCCTGTGCTGGTCACATCAGAAGAGCGATCGCTGGCGTGCGAGACGCCAGGAAAGCGTCGAACAATACCTCCTCGACCGGTTGATAGAGAGCTGGAGACTTTGCCCGACTCTTTCTGTGGTTTGGTTATCCGCACACTGGAAGTGCATCTCCACGACAAGGTACCCAAGTTCGATCCTTCAGACGAATCACGAGATCTCTATGATCGTCTGAATCGATGAAGTCTCGCTTTTCTGCCACCCAGTAGACTTTAGCCCATTAGACGAAGGAGAAACGGGAGATTTAAGACTCAGAGTACATTGCGTAGACACCACGAGCGGTTGTGGCGCTACCTAACCAAGAAGCGCGAGAAAAGGAGAGAAGCGAAGTACAGTCCACCGGTCTTTTTCAGGACTACACACAATCAGCCCTTTCAGGGTTAACAAAACATAAAAAAACGTAGACAGGCTATCTGTCCCCACAATTGCATAAGCCTTCGTCAGATATAGAACCGAACTTATCACATAGAAACATCAAAAATTCATTTTACATTATTTTATAATTAGAATCGGAATATTTGAATAAACGAATAATAAAATACCATTTCTTTTATCAGAAAAAAAAATACAATACAGAAATTAGAGCCACCATACTCAAAAAAATTTGGTCAAAAAAGTTATGATGATGCAACAAATAATCAAAATCCAGAAATAGAAGCTTTAGATAGTGTTAACAAAATCTTGAAATTTGGGAGGATGCCTCATTATCGGTGAGTTATTTATTGTGACAAATAAATTAAATGTAATTGAAATGATTTTAAAGCAAATTTTTAAGATTTTCTTTAATTGAGTTTGTCAATTCCTTACACAAGCACACAAAATAAGCTCAGTTCAAGTGACGAGACTCCAATTACTTAATGTTTTTGGGATTGCTAATATCCGAATCCAACACAAGCTTTTTTCTAGGTTTGCTTATTTTTGAGATCACTTGAAGAGCAAAATATAATGATATAATAAAAACTAAAAATTGAAATACAATTGGAATTTTGTTCGTGTTAACCAAGTGTTCTTCTTATCGAGAAAACATGGACCCTCGTAAACATAAACTAAGTTTGTGTTAAACGAAACAATCAAAATTCATATTGAAAATGAACGGATGTTTTTTTATTAAATATGAATATTGATTTGAATTTGACCGTTAATATACAAAATAATTCGTTATAGATTTTTGAACTTGAGAATTGTGTTTATTAGGATTGGTGGACAAAATCTCCAAACCAAAACCTCCAATCCAAAAGATCCAACGGCAAAAATAAGTCCAAAATCTAAAATATCCAAAAAGTCCAAAAATCCAAAAATTGTAGGCCCAAAAAATAAAATATCCCCAAGAAAAATAAAACAAAGATATGTATAAAAAAATCCTTTATTAAAGGTGTAGGTAGTGGCCAAGGTCCTTGATATATTTATGCTGCGAATCGTCCTCCACGTATTCATCATAACGCATCACGATGTTCATTATTCGATCCTTGACTGTGACAAAGTGACCATCGGGCTTTTTGCGAACAGCTTGGCCCAACTGAAGTGTCGCCTTTTTCATGTTGCAATGGTATAGGCAGCTTGCTATTTATTCCATGCCACATTTACAGCCCTGCGATTCACTCTTCTGACTGTGTATTTGCCCTGCTGCGTGCGGTATCGAGCTCGTTTTTTTTTTTTTTTTTTTACGATGCGATGCGCTTCAGCGCGAAACTACTACTAATGAGCCGTGCTCATTACTCCCATCAATGCACCTCGTCACAGGTGGGGACCCTGTCGTCCCACGTGACAGTACATATACATATGTATACATATATAAATGTACGCATGTACGTGTACATACGCTGCAGCTATGCATTTTTCATTATTGGACTTTTTTGGGGTTGGGCAAATTAACTTTGGATATTTGTTTTGTTGGACATTAGATAATTGGATCTTTTGTACCTTTGGACTTTTTTTTTGAATTTTGGGTTTTGGATATTTTGGCATTAGAACTTTTGTTTTGGAGATTTTGTCTCCCTACCGTTTATTAGAAATGTATTTAGAATTCATGTAGTTTAAACTTTCAATGAATCGCATTGTAACATCGGTTGTAGAATAATAATCTTCCATTATTTGAAGGGCATTCATTATTTGTATATGGCTTAGTCTTTTTTTTTAATTCTTCGTCATTCTTTGAATTGGCAATTTCATTATCGTTTTCGATAATATCTTCGTCACTTAAGTTATTATTGTCATTTTCTATTGAAATACATACAGCAATATCAGCGTCAAATTGTGTGTATTCATCAAACGTACACACCTGAAATAATGTCAACACAAAACTTTTTATATGTTTTTATTTTTGTTTAATTTTTAATATTTACCATTGGATTAACCGTTATTTCCTTCATTAAATTCTTTAAGGGCTAAAAGGGGGCTTAATTATTTATCATTTTTCAATTACAGTATTAGGCTGTAAAAGTAAAAAACATGTTTTTTTTCAATAACACAAATGATAACTTTTTTCAATAGCCTATTTGAAAGTATTTTGTCAAGTTAGATACTTAGAAACAATTGAGTACAATAATAATGAGGGTATTGGTCATCAACGCAAGCTATACGCATATGTAAGCTAACTGTCGTAGAAATCCAAGATCAAGCATTCAGCTAAAGGAGCCTATGTAGTTTCATTTTGTTCGATAGCCAATTGGCCATGGTCGCAACCAAAAGCTAGCCATAAGATGAACTGTAGCTACTCCTGTGTACAATTTTCTAGAATTTAGTATTCATTTTTTATCATTTTCCATAAATCAATTTCACTTTGCTATATGTACAAGTCCACTCCAGGTACACGTTGAAACGATCCATTTTTTTAAGAAATTCATAAAAATCCGATTTTCTTCGAGCGCGCCTAATTTTTCCTGCTTTAAAAATCACCTCAGTGGACACTTTTATTGTTAGTACTTATCTCAAAGAAAAGAAAGAGACTGCGAGCGATGGTGTTGAATTTAAAAATCGACCTCGACCATGTAGTCGAAAATCAGGTAAAATGGGCAAAAAACAGCCAAAATCCCGGCTTTATACGCATTACGTTGTTCCATATCTTAATTCTGAGCTCAGGTGGTGGTTGAAACATGTTTATTAGCCTATAAGTTGATGAATCGCGGAGTTTAGAATTAGCTGAAGCAACTCAAACTCGGTTGAAGCTGCTGAAACATAAATTTTACGGCAAAGTATCAATTTTTTTGCGAGTATTTATATGGTCAAATCTCAAAATAAAATTCTGTTTCGTTAACAAAAAAAGGTGAAATTTTTTTTTGCGTGCCCAGCAGCCTGGACCCCCGCAAATTGTTCATAGGACCTCCAGGAGTGAAAAAAAATGCGTGAACATGAAATTGGAAAATAATTAATTTTTTTTTGGGCACTTTAGTGTTTTAGACGCCGAAAAGTCATCTTTTCACGCAAATACGACTTATTACTCGATTTCCAAGTCGTTGAAAAAGTATCAAAACTCATCTAAAAAATGTAACTGACTACTCTATTTGATAGGAAATTTCCTTAGCTTTCCGATGGTACTATTCGATATTCCGAAATATCCTACTTTCACCGCGAAAATCGTCATCAAACATTGAGGGCTAAATCTGTCGAAAAATTCAGTACGGAAAAAGTGAAATTTTTGGTTTATTTCCGATTTTTCCTTGTGAAAATGAGATTTTTCGGAAAATCTAACTGCACCATGAGAAAGCTGAGGAAATTTCCTATCGAAAGCATATCTTCATTTATTTTTTTAGCCGAATTAAATCCTATACAAGCGTATTTTGACTGCCCTGTTCTCCGTTTTCAGTTTTCCGAGCGGTCTTGAGGTTTTTGGCGTTGCACGGCTCGCTACAATCGAAATTCGCTCGTAATGAGACTCAAAAAATAAATGAAGATTTGCTTTCGATAGGAAATTTCCTCAGCTTTCTCATGGTGCAGTTAGATTTTCCGAAAAATCTCATTTTCACAAGGAAAAATCGAAAATAATCCAAAAAGTACACTTTTTCCGTACTGAATTTTTCGACATATTTAGCCCTCTAAGTTTGATGGCGATTTTTGCGGTGAAAATTGGATATTTCGGAATATCGAATAGTACCATCGGAAAGCTAAGGAAATTTCCTATCAAATAGAGTAGTCAGTTACATTTTTTAGATGAGTTTTGATACTTTTTCAACGACTTGGAAATCGAGTAATAAGTCGTATTTGCGTGAAAAGATGACTTTTCGGCGTCTAAAACACTAAAGTGCCCCAAAAAAAATTAACTATTTTCAAATTTCATGTTCACGCGTTTTTTTTCACTTCTGGAGGTCCTATGAACAATTTGCGGGGATCTGGGCCGCTGGGCACGCAAAAAAAAATTTCACCTTTTTTTGTTAACGAAACGGAATTTTATTTTGAGATTTGACCATATGTGTGATAATGTATATGAGCAAAGCCACGTCAAGCGTAATATGTTTAAAAAAATGCAGTTGAAATGCAAGTATGTAGTCTTAAAGAATACATGGAAAAATGAAAATCCTGAAAGTTTCATCCCCCTAGGTTTATCCCTGGTGTATCTATAGGGGCTCAAAGTTAGATTTCTATTTTTCAAATTTTATTTTGCTTTTTTGGTGTGAGTATGAAAAAATTGTTGAAACATGATTTTTTATGTAAAATTTAATGAGGAATTCAAATTCGTTATCCAAAATCATATTCACAAAGTAAAAAAACCCTAAATTATGAAAAAAGTCCAAAAATAAACATGTTCATATCCATCGATTAGGCCGCAATATTGTAATATATTCATCGACTGATCCATAGCTCATTTTTACTATATTAAGGTCATGTGTAGACTAACAAATTTCATTTTTGTGCCAAATATGAGTCAAAAATCTAGGAAAATTAGAAAAAAATTATGTTTTCGACATTAAGGGGAGGATATTGTCCTGGCCTTGAAAAATTTTGAATTTTTTTTATTGTTTTATTTGATTGTTTATACTTTCAATAGTATTCTGTTAAAATTTCAGTTAAAATTGACGAAAATATTGAACTTTTAGTTCGATAACTATTATGTATCTAATATATAATGTTGTATCTTTGAGTTGCGATTTCTCAAAATTACATTTTTTAAATAGGTGAGAAACGTCACTTAAAAAGTATCCAACCGATCCTTTTGAAATTTTGCATAGTCCTTTATTAATCCTTTTAGCAAGTATTGACGTATCGAGATGTTTCGATTTTTCCGAAAATTTTTTTGTTTACAACAAATTTTCCGAAAAAAGGTCGATTTTTCATGTCAGTACCTGAGAAAACTCATTAACTAATGAGGTAATTTTGCATTTTTCGATTCAGATGCTTCTGTGAAAAGTTACGTGTCTCACCAGAATTTTCACGAATTTTTCGTAGATTTGCTTCCAAAGGCCAGAAAATGAAAATTTTTTGATGAAATTTTTACAAAATACTCTCGAAGTCATGTACTTTCACGTATGGTTGATTCTCCCGAAGTCTGCTTTTTCGGGTATAGAAAATGAAAAAATTTTTTTTCACATTGAACGGCGCGAACTAGTTTACCCTTTTTTAAACCATATAATATGAATAATCATTGAATCTGGGGCCTTGAGATTTCGTTATACGAAAACTATGTCCAATTTTATTAAAATTGACTATTTTCGGTTACGGAGGTGACACTCACGGAGGTGACAAATCGCTGCTTTGATCAACTAAGTATGAAAAATAA